TGAGATTCAGGTCTCATATATAGTCTTAAAGACCGTAATGTATTGAGGGCCAGTGACGGCTTACATGGCTTGAAAAACTTTAGCCCCCACGTTCCTTGCGCTTTCCACACGACTCGGCTCTGTCCACTGGGAAAGAGTCAGTCTGTAAGTTGAAAAGAATGGGTTTGGCTGCTACAATCTGAAGACACAGAAGGCGGTCTTAAATCTCATAAAATTTCTAAAAATCCAACGAGCGGAGAAAGTGTTTTCATGCAAACCCAAGCAGATCCCCAGTTGAAACACCGCCGACTGCTTTCCCAACACTTACCTCCGCGCGGCCTTTGCGAAACTTCCCGAAACCCTCAAGTGTCATCTCTGCACAAACTCTGCCCTTCAGGAAGAATCCTGTAGGCTTCAATCACCGAGGGGGGATCCATTATGCTAGAAATATCTCAGGATATTGGTGTACGGCGTAGGATAAGGACAAACTTCCATAACATTTACCTCCACAGAAAGGCGTGCTACCGTCAGAAAGCCAAGTAAGCAAGTGTGCTGGTGGTCAGTCCACCCAGGTTTTAACCCTAATGCATCACTGCCCTTTGCTCTGATTGGTCAGAGCTAGAGTCACCGTCTTCCACAATTGGCTAGTTTGGAAGGGGTTAAAAATTTAGAGCCAAGCAATCAACTAAAATCAGGACACCTGGCCAGAGCAGGAATTTATCAGAAAAACAATTCTTACTCAGCTGGCGCTGTAACACTTGAGCCATGCCTCCATCCCCTAGAAAAACAATTCTCATAAAGGATGGAGCTGAACAAAAAATAGCTTCTTGTAACATAACAGCTACAGTGCTTGTGTCAAGCAACCAGTTCAACAGAAAAGATTCTAACTCCTACAAGTGCCAGGATTGGTGGGTGAACCAAAGTTCTGAAGTCCATCTAAAATACTCCATTAAAACTAGAGATCTGAGCCAGGCGCCGGTTGGCTCATACCTGTAATCCCAGCTACTCAGAAGGCTGCGATCTGAGGATCATGGTTTGAAGCCAGCCCAGGCAGGAAAGTGCATGCAACTCTCCATTAATCACAGAAAAAAAGCCCGGAGTGGTGATGCAGCTCAAAGGGGCAGTGCCCAGGCCCAAGAATGGCCGAACACCAACAACAAAATCCCATAGAGGCCTTAATCCTCTCTATCGATAAATCCCCCCAAACTGGCTTGGCCTCGAGGTGCTGTGGTCCTGATCAAAGCCAGCCTGGGCAGGAAAGTCCGTGAGACTCTTATCTCCAATAAACCCAAAAGCCAGAAGTGGAGCTGTGGTTCAAGTGGTCCAGCACTAACTAGCCTCGAATGGATAAAGCTCAGAGACAGCGTTGAGGCCCTGAGTTCAAGACCCAGGACCAGCACCAAAAACGAACAAAAACCCTTCTCACTCTTTGTGTTGATGGAAAACACTGACCAATGGGCTGGGTGTTCACAGCTCTCCCAGCTGTGTTAAATCAGAATCCTCATCGAGTTCTGAAGTGCTCACGTGTGGTGTTTGACTCAAACTGTCTCCCAAGCAAAACTCAGGCATCTTGGGATGTGCAGGAGAGTTCATTTACCTCTAACGGGCTGAGTGTCCAACACCTGAAGACACCACCCAATCTTCCTTTGACAAATCTGTTTACAAAAGGAAGGTAAGAACTTAACTTATAATCTGTATCTTTTAAGACATATTTATACCATCTGCTACAAACACAACCCTTTTGGGGTAAGACAATTTTTACTTTTTTACCTTTTTTAACCAGAGGAAGCCATTCTCATTCCTTTAATTAGCAGATAGAGGAATAGTACATCCACTACTTAAGTAGGGGAGTCAAATTATTTTGCTTTCAGGGAGAGGAAATGAGGCCCTGTTAAGCAAAGATGAAAGTTCCTGGTCCAGGGGGGAAGGGGGGCGGGGGGAGGCTGGGAAGGGATGTGAAGGGTAAACAAAGGAGGAGGCTGCAATACTTGATAAGGAATGTACTCATTATCTTGCCCATGTAATTGTAACCCCTCTGTAGTACAGTATGTTCACAAAAAATAAAAAAAGTAAAAAAAAGAAAGTTCCTGGTCCAGGAATACAAGAGACCTTCATACATGCAGGGAAAGCAGACACTGGGTCACTCATGTGGAGAAAATACAGCGCTTAAGACAGGTATATGAGATGAGTTCTCAACATTTCCATAAAGGAAATGACATGTCCTTACAATCAAGCAAAAGAGGTGAGACTGGCCCAGGGATTAGTGGCTCACACCAGGAAGCCTAACTACTCAGGAGGCTGAGATCTGAGAGTCAGGGTTCAAAGCCAGCTGGAGTTGAAAAGTCTGAGACTTATCTCCAGCAAAACCAGCAAAAAGCCTGAAGTAGAAATGTAGCTCAAGTAGTAGAGTGCCAGCCTTGAGTGAAAAAGCCAAATGAGAGGGCAAGACCCTGAGCCCTAACACTGGCACAAAAACCGACCAATGAGATGCCTGACACTGAGGCAAGAAAAACAGGCTTTGTAAAAGGGGAGGTGAGATCAGTGATCGCACAGAACTGATGGAACCAGCCAGGCTTTGGGGATTCACACCTGTAATCAGCTCCTCAGGAGGCTGAGGTCTGAGCACCACAGGTCAAAGCCAGCCTGAGCAGGAAAATCTGTGAGATTCTTACCTCCAATTAACTAGCAAAAAGTTAGTAGCTGAGCTATGGCTTAAGTGGTAGCGCACCAGTCTTGAGCAGAAAAGCTGAGGGCAGCACCCGAGCACTGAATTCAAGCCCCATACTGACCAAAGAAAGAAAGAAAAAAGGAACCTTCTGAAGACACGAGGTCTGTTAGAGACAAGGTTTCTTGATGCTTCAATGGAGGAGACAGGAGCTTGGATCCTCAGGACTCGTAAGACCTTCTTGCACACAAACAGAAGAGATGATAAGATTCAGGACCCTCAGGAAGGAGAGATAGGACCTTGGGACAGATAGGCGGGGAGTTGAGCGGAGGATTTCAGACATCCAGAATAGAGACAAAATCCCTGACATTTAGGGGGGGGAGATGAAACTATACTTGAGGAGGGGAGGGGATGGGAGGAGCAGGGAGGGAGGTGTGAAGAGGAGGGAGGAGGGGAGGGGAAGGGAGGGGAGGGGAGGGAGTTCATGACAGCTAGGTGTGGGAAATGAGAACTCTTGACATTTCATTATGGCAGCTGAGTCTTCAGTACACTGATACAGGTGAGGTGTAATCTTTCAACATTCAGGCAAAGGCCATAAGACCTCTTGATTATCAGGTAGAGATGCTGAGACACGGTGATAACCTAGGGGAAGAGATAAGACCTCTAGCCCAGGCCTGGCAAAAGAGATGTTCTCACTTACGGTGGAGAGAAGGGAGAGTTCTGGATTCTCTCAGAAGACAGTTGAGGGAGCTGAAAGGTGATGTGAGGTGAGAACGTAGGACACTTAGAGAAGCTGCTCAGAGAACTCAAGGTCACCTCAACAGTGGAAGGAGGTGAGATGTCTTATGGGTCGGAGAGCTGGGAGCTACAGAGCTCTCAGGGGAAATGTCACTTCTTTAGCCTTGTGACAGACTGGTGGAAACTTAGAAGAGACGGGACCTTTGGATGTTCTTGTGAGGGAGGGGAAACATTTTAATATCTAGGAATATGTGACAAGCATTTGTCGTGTTCTGGCAAGATGATGCTATCTTCAGACAATCAGCTAGAGAAAAAAAGACACTTTATGATATGCAGTTATCTATGAGAAGTTTTTACCTCCTGCTCCCTACACCCGCCGGTAATGGGGCTTGAACCTAGGGCCCTAAACTTTCTGGCAGGCATTCTATACCATACTCTAAGCCAGTATACCAGCCCCTTTTTACATTGGTTATTTTCAAGATAGGGTCTCACTTTGTGCTTACACTGGCCTCTCAGAGTCTCCTGTTTGTGCTTCACTTTATGATTGAGAGGACAGGTATGAACTACTGCACCATCCAGCTTCTCCTGTAGTTTAGGGTGACAGGTGCATGCCTCTGCCCCTTGCCGTTAATTGAGATGGAATCTCATAAACTTTTATGATTGGGCTGCCATTATCCTCCAGTCTCAGCCTCCCAAGTAGTTAGGATTACAGGCTGGAGTCACACCTGCTGGAGAGAATACTTTGCTGCACTTAGGTCCCATAGAGGAGACCTGGAGACATTCAAGGAGGTAATATGAGATGTTGGGATGCTCAATAGTGGACAGGAAAGTGGGTTTATATTCATGAATAAGGGAATTCAGGTAATCCCAGCTATGCTGGGATTTGCTTGAGCAAAGTTAACTCAAGACTATCTGAAAAACAAACTAAAAACAAAAGGGCTCCAGAAAGACAGAGGTGATAGAGTAATTGCATGATCAAGACTCTGAGTTCAGTTCTCAGTGTCACAGAAACAGAATGGAATTGGACTTTTTTCAAGGTGTGTTGACGTCCACCCTCGGGAGAGGGCGCACTTCCCTCAGGAAGCACTAAGGGCTCCGTGTCTGTGAAGCCTGAGGATGTTTAGACACAGTTCCTGAGTCTGCGTGGTCACAACTCAAAGAGGTCATCTTGGCCAGACACGGAGGCTCATGTCTGTGATTCCAGCTCCTTGGGAGGCAAAGGTCATGAACATCATGATCCAGAGTAGGCCTGGGCAAAATTATAAGGGTGCTAGCCAAGATAATTTTAAAAAGAGAGGTGTGGTTATGAGTCCTTGAGCTTGGATCTTAGTAGTGTCAATAAATAGATAGATACATAAATAAGATAAAAAGAACTGATCTTGAACCTGCACCTGGTTTGCCTGGGACCTGGGAAGAGTAATGTGCAATAGAGGCCTTGACTTTGGGCTAGAGGGGATAGGGTTGACCCCAAGCCTCTGTTACCCTAGGTCTGGGATGGCTTTACAGAAAGTTGGGAGGTCACTTCAGCATGGATCCATTAAGCCAAGGGCCCTGCGCAGACGGCCTATGGGGTGGGGGTGTTGCCTTGCTGATTGGCCAGAATTTTACAGAGCTTTGTGAGGTCATGGCTTGCAGGCCTGTCTAGAGCAGGAGTATAGTAGAGATGCTGCCAACTGCTGTTCTGCTGGTCTTGGCAGTGTCCGTGGTCGCCAAAGAAAACACCACGTGTGAGTAAGTGTTGGGGGCCTTGGTGTGGGGAAGAGCATCTTCTAAATGACAGATCCCACCCAGACTCCCTCTGCCTGGGGCTGGGTGGGGGCCACACTTGAATCTTAGCAGTCCTAGGGTAGGCTCACAGTTCTGGTATCCACATCCCCAACTCAGACCCTCCCAGTTTCCAGACCCTCAGTCTTCTGTTGCCCTTGAAAGGGACCCTTCAGCTCCTGGATCTGTTTTCCCTGCTCCTCCAATAACCGCTTCTCAGACATCAGGTCCTGATTTTTAGGAGCCCCTGTCCTTCAGTGGACAGCTGCAGTACCCTGCCTGTTCCTGGCTGTGAAGGCAGTAGCGCCACTGTACACGTACTCACCCCTGAGGATCCTACAGTTCCATCACGGCCCAGCTAGTGGAAGCCTACCTCCTGTGACTCAGTTCCCAAGATATGTACCTCTGGGCCTCCACTGCTCCTCGTGCCCCTCTGCCTGGGAACCATGGAGGGCTCCCAGCTCCCCTCCCCTCCAGCCCGCTCTGCGTCCTCAGGCCCCTTAAGTCATGCCCTCCCGAGTCTCCCACCTAAGATTGACCCTGACCACCCCAGGCCCTTAGGCTCATCTGCTTCCAGACCCTCCACTGCACTGCTGACTCCCACTCTTCGCAGGGATTCCCCTGTGCCTCTAGGGCCACAGGGCCTGGCCTCACTATATGGCCCCGTCTTCTCATCCTGAGATGAGATACACACTATCCAATAAATCGTAATGGCCTCAATGATTTCCCAGGGCCTGTGCTTTCTGTACACTTCATCCCACCCCCTTTCCCAGAGCCCTGCAGGACTGTTCTGCCCTTCCTAAGCCTAGAACCCTTTCTCCCCCCAGGTGTGAGCTATGAGGACACGCTGGGCCCGTCCTTTTCTTGAACTGTGTCCCTCAGTGTGTGTCTCCTGTGTCTCTTCTCAGTGGTCCCTGTGGGTTACGGTTCAGGCAGAGCTCGCAAGGGCCTGTCCGGATTGTTGGTGGACAGCCTGTGCAGCATGGCGCCTGGCCCTGGATGGTCAGCCTCCAGATCTTCATGTCCCACAACAGCCGCAGGTACCATGCATGTGGAGGTACCCTGCTGAATTCCAACTGGGTGCTTACAGCTGCTCACTGCTTCGATAACAGAAAGTACGTGTGGGGACTTCCGAGGGCGGTCTCTAGAATGTTCTTGGAAAGGGCCCTTGCCCAGGGGCTCTGTGCAGGGTCTTCCTGGGGCTCTGGGTGAGGTGGTAACCAGATCCTGATGGAAAGCTCTGTCCAGCTGGTCTGTAAATGAAAACAATTGGCTTACCTTTGTGTCTGCAGAAAAGTCTATGACTGGAGACTGGTTTTCGGAGCACAGGAAATTGAGTATGGGAGCAATAAGCCAGTGAAGGCACCTCTGCAGGAGAGATATGTGGAGAAAATTGTCATTCATGAGAAATACAACGTTGTGACAGAAGGGAATGACATTGCTCTCTTGAAGGTCACCCCTGCTGTCACCTGTGGGCGCTTCATCGGGCCAGGGTGCCTGCCCCATTTTAAGGCAGGCCCTCCCAAAGTTCCCCAGACCTGCTACGTGACCGGATGGGGTTACATAAAAGAGAACGGTGAGTACAGGAGGGGCTCTTCGCTGGGTATTCTCCTGCGGGTCTTCATGGCAGTAGGAGTCATATGTTGGCACACGGCTGAACAATTTTCAGTCTTTAGCATGGTACCAGAAATAGAGCCCTTTCACAGCTGGGAAACTCTTGAAGTCGAGGCCCCTACCCAAGTCACATGACTGGCACGGGTGCCTAAGGGAAGGATGAATGGCAGACACAAGCATTGTTTATTTTGTACGCTGAGTCAAGGCTGTGTTTGTGTTGGCATCTGGAGCCCAAGTTGCTACCCCTGCTCACTGGATCTGGAGAGCTCCGCATGTGGTTTTGTGTCTTGGGCCAATTTTCCTCTTTCAAGATTGGAAGGGCCAGATCAGATAGTCTCTAAGATGAATATTTCAAGCCTGTGTCACAGAGCTGTCTTTTTCTTTCTTTCTTTCCTTTTTTTTTGTCAGTCAGGGGCTTGAACTCTGGGCCTGGGCGCTGTCCTTCAGCTCTTCAGCTCAAGGTGAGCACTCTACCACTTGAGCCACAGTGCCACTTCTGGTTTTCTGGTGGTTTATTATTCAAAGGCAGCCTGGGCTGGCTTTGAACCATAATCCTCAGATCTCAGCCTTCTGAGTAGATAGGATTTCAGGCTTGAGCCTCCAAAGTGTAGCTTAATTTTTTTTTTTAGTAAGAAAAAAAATTTCATCTTCTCTTCTCTCTTATTCCCTTTGCCAGAGGCTGATTCAATTCCTGACAGACTTGCTACCTGTCTTGTCTTTTAGGGAAGTAGTTATGTCCCAAGTTGCCATTGTCTTCACTGGTATTTGTTAACATACAACTTGCTCTCTGGTCTGAGTTGCCCATCTTCATCCCACCTGCTGATGCCTCAGAATGAGGACATGCATTATTCTGGTCTAAACTCCTCTCTGCCTCTGAGCATGTCCACTGCTTGGAGACTCTTGTAGTCCTTGGACTGGTTTCAGGTCTCCACTACCACCTCTATCTACTTTTACTATCCAGTTGTCTTGGAGGATTTGGGGCTCCCAGCTATACCTTGGATATCAAGCAAGACGTTTTTGTTCTGGAAGCCTAAATTAATGAGATACCTTTTATTTTTGTTTTGCATAGACACCCACCACTCCTAAGTCCCAGCCTTAAATCCTCAGGTTTCAAACTCCCATTATTTGCTCAGATGTTCTTGTTATGACTCCTTGAATTCATCTGTTTCAAGGGTGGAAGAACTTCCCAGGTATTGTTCCTTTCACTTAATTTTGAGTTTCTATATGTTTCCTAATATTGGCTACTCAAAACCAAGGGACTGGGACTGAAAACATCATCTCTATTTCAGTACACCTGGCTCTTCACAATGAAGAGGTATGGCTGTCAAGCTCGGTCATAGATTGTTGTCTTACTGCCATTCTCATGTTAGGCAGTACATGTACAAAAACTCTTACTGCTGCCTGGATGAGAAGAAAAGTAGAAGCTACAGTGGTTGCAAAATAGACCCACAGCTGAGCAAACATGCACTCAGCAGCTATTTACTTGAGTACTGAATTCTGTATCACAGCTTCTTGCATTTTCTTTCCTTTTTTTTTGTCAGTCATGGGGCTTGAACTCTGGGCCTGGGCCTGGGCACTGTCCCTCAGCTCTTCAGCTCAAGGCTAGCACTTTACCACTTCTGGCTTTTTCTGCTTACGTGGTACTGAGGAATTGAACCCAGGGCCTCATGCACGCAAGGCAAGCACTCTACCACTGAGCCACCTTCTCAGCGTCTTGCATTTTCTATCTTTTTCTTGCATAGCTGTGTATCCAGGTCTGCCCTACATCAGGCTGCTTCCTTCCAGTACTGCTGATGAAGTCCAACCCCAGAGCCAGAAGGCTGTAGGTTCTGCTGAGGTTGGGGAGCAGCATAGCTGCTGTCATTAGGTCTTCTGGCTGCAGTGGTTCTGGGACTAGGTCTAAGCTGTAGCCTAGCCAGACCTTTCCTAATCCCAACATTGTGATAGGGTCTTGGGTGGAAACAAACTCTGAGTCAACTTTCCTTTTCCTAAAATCCCCTCAAAATGGATGAGGTATACAGGGAGGATTCACAAGCAGGTGTAAGGTAGAAACACAGTGAAGGTGGCTTGTAGAGAGACTGTGAAGAATGAACGATGTGTCTCAGGCTTGGTCTGGAGGGAGCAATTCTGGCAAGATTCCAGCTCCTGCCATTCCCAGAGTAGATGGTGGTGCTCCAGCTCCGGAAGCAAAGTGGGAATAACAGGACCAGGGAACCATAGTGAGTGCTTGGGCACATGCTACTCATTCATTCATTCATTCATTTGTAATACAACTACTAACCTCCTGAATCTTCCTCATCTACTATTCACACACACACACACACACACACACACACACACACATCCATCACCTTTCCTTCTTCATTCAGGTAACATTCTTCTACTTCCATACATTTGCTCTTTCACTATGTAGTTCTTCCTTTCAGCAATGCACAAGGAGAAGCTGAGGGAGCATTACAGAGGATGGGGTTCATGGAGGGAATTGGCAGGACTTTTCCTCCATGTCTTCCTAATCCCCTAACCTTTGTGTGGCCTGGCTGCAGCTCCCAGGCCATCACCCATCCTGCTGGAGGCACGTGTGGATCTCCTCGACCTCGACCTGTGTAACTCAACCCAGTGGTACAATGGGCGTGTCACGTCAACCAATGTGTGTGCAGGGTATCCTGCAGGCAAGATTGATACCTGCCAGGTAACTTCCCTCTAGTACCCAAGACCCTAGGGTCCCCCACCCCACCCCTACCCCAAGTATTACCAGGCCTTGAGAACACTTCATTTTGGGCCCTTGAGCCTCACCATTTCTACTCCCTGCTCTGGACCCTATTTTAATGATTCCTTCTCTGATCCCTTCACCTAACCTTGATGGTCGCAGTGAGGATGGAAGCTACTATCAACCAGATTCTCTTAAAGATCAGTTACCACATTTAGCCCTTGATCCCAACTTTAGAATAATCCACTAACCCTAGTCTTGCCTCTTCACAGTTGTTAATAACACACAGTTAAGCTACACGCATGCTCATATGGGTTCACCCATCTCACTGCTAGAAAACTCATGCCAATATATACTGTCTTTGTAACCCAATGGAAGCTGTTGGCATGGCCTCAAATGTATGGAGCCATTTGTGCTTCTAGCAGTGGAAAACATGTGGCTGCAGAAAGTGCCCTCTCAGAGCCCCGTGACCCCTGGGCAGGAAAAGGGTCCGAGGCCGAGAGTGACTTGTGTGTCTTTCCGGGCAGGGGGACAGTGGTGGGCCTCTCATGTGCAAAGACAGCGCAGACAGCCCGTTTGTGGTTGTGGGGATCACAAGCTGGGGCGTGGGCTGCGCCCGTGCTAAGCGTCCTGGAATCTACACGGCCACCTGGGACTACCTGGACTGGATTGCTTCCAAGATAGGACCAAACGCCTTGCACATGATTCAACCAGCCACGCCTCACCCCCCTACCACCCATGCCTCCTCCTCTCACCTTCCCTCCTCCAATCCTGCCTGGTACTTTGAAAACCCTCCTCATGCTGCTCAATCTTCCCACACTCACCCCTTTCGGCCTCAGCCCTATCCACCTCAACACCCATCCCAGCCTCTGCCACCACCGCCCTTATCTCACACCAAACCTCCCAAAGCACTTTCCTTTGCCAAGCGCCTACAACAGCTTATAGAGGCTCTGAGAGGGAGGCCTTATTCTGTTGCCAAGAACTCTTACTACATGGGGCCTACAGAGTACCCAGAGACAGTCCTCTCCTGATCTGACTTTGTTTTCAACAGACCCAGGCTCTTCATTCCTTAAAAAAAAGAGAGAGATGAAATAAACATATACACATATATTTATTTATAAATAAATAGATAAATATGAATACATGCATGCACATGAAGAGATGCTTTCTCGACTTTTATCTGCCTGCTCCAACTACACACCCAAATCATCAACTCTACCCCCTCCCCCTTCACCCTCTAATAAAGTGAAATTGCTCGTGTGTTTATGTTATTTTACAATTTTTGGTATTGGGGATTGAACCCATGGCCTCATGCTTGCTAGGCAAGCATGATTTTTATGTTTTATTTATATTTCTGTTGGTCCTGGGGCTTGAACTCTGGGCCTGGGTGCTGTCCCTCAGCTCTTCAGCTCAAGTCTAGTGCTCTGCCACTTGAGCCACAGCGCCACTTCCTGTTTTCTGGTGATGAATGGATTTAGCATTAAAGTACAACCAAAGCCCCATAAAAGTTCTCAGGTAAGAGGAGCACCAGGCGAACCATGTAGACCAGCAGAACTTCTAGCTAGAGGATAAGAGTAGGAAAGGAAGATGAAGTGTTGGTCTCCAAGGCTTGTTTTCCTTCTTCCATTGAACCTCCTCTCATACACTTGCTGAGAACTTGTGACTAGTTAGAATTGTGGAGAAGCTCTGCTTAGAAGAAACAAACTAAGAAGCAGGTGGATCTGGGCAACTTAAGAGTGGGCAGTAGTGGATCGTTGGCACATCCCACAAATGCAAATGCGCAGCTTCCTTTTCCTTCAGATAAGTGCCCTAGCTAAAGCAGAGCCATTTTGCTCTCTTCTTTTTATACACTTTTCTGACCAGACATTCATACTCCCACCCTCAGCCTTGAGGCTAGACAAATTCTAGGATAGTTAGTCCTCTACAGCTTTCCTGGTGGTGGCTTGAAGCTCGCTTGCAGTTGAGACAGCCTTGCTTGCTTTCCTGTCGCCCATCCTCTCAGCTCCCCTCCCTCATCTTTGGGGATTGAATGGCTCCAGTTGGCCATCTAACGACTTCCTCAGACTCCGCTTCTAGGGAACGTGATACAAAGCAGTGCAAAATCAATACCAGGGTGAATCTCACTGCATATTTAGCCTATTTCAACAAAGCTGCTTGTATTAAAAAACTATTGGCTGATGGGGCTGGGAAGGTGGCTCAGTGGTAGAGCACTTGTCTTGCATGCATGAGGCCCTGGGTTCGATTCCTCAGCACCACATAAGCAAAATGAAAAAAGCCAGAAGTGGTGCTGTGGCTCAAGTGGTAGAGCACTAACCTTGAGCTGAAGAGCTGAGGGACAGCGCCCAGGCCCAGAGTTCAGGCCCCACGACCGGACCTCCCCCCCCCAAAACAACAAAAAAACCTATTGGCTGGGGAAGTATCTTAGTGGTTAGAACATTTGCTTGCATGCATGAGGCCTTGGGTTCAAACCCCAGCACTGTCAAATACATAGCCAAAACTTGTTATCCCTCCCTTCCCTCCACTTCCACTTCCAATCCCGCCTCATTAATGCTTTTTTTTAAAGTCGGTCATGGGGCCTGAACTCTGGGCCTGGGCGCTGTCCCTCAGCTCTTCAGCTCAAGGCTAGCGCTTTACCACTTGAGCCACAGCGCCACTTCTGGCTTTTTCTGCTTATGTGGTGCTGAGGAATCGAACCCAGGGCCTCATGCATGCGAAGCAAGCACTATACCACTGAGCCACCTTCCCAGCCCCTAAAGTAATGCAATTTGAAAAACCTCAGGGCAGGTAAGCTCTGAGTTGACTGTGTGAGCATCATTTATTTAAAGAAGAAGCTCCCACTCCTATATGTTTTGCTGCTAGTGCTGCTATTACTGGGGCTTGACCTCAGAGCCTGAGTGCTGTCCCTTTACTTTTTGGCTAAGGGCTAGCATTTTACCACTTGAGCCACAGATCACTTCTGGTTTTCCAGTGGTTAATCGGAGTTGAGTCAGGGTTTGTCCATTCAGGCTGGCTTCAAACCATGATCCTCAGATCTCAGTCTCCTAACTGGCTAGAGATTACAGGCATGGGCCACCAGCACCCAGCACTTTTTTTTGTTCTTGCCAGTCCTGGGGCTTGAACCCAGGGTCTGGGCACTGTTCCTGTGCTGCTTTTACTCAAGGTTAGCACTCTACTTCTTGAGCCACCACGCCACTTCTGGCTTTTTCTATGTGGTATTGAGGCATCTAACCTAGGGCTTCAAGCACGCTAGGCAGGCACTCTACCACTGAGCCACATTTCTAGCCCCAGCACTTGTTCTTGAAACACTAAATTTCACTGAAATGGTCTTCTCTAGTCAATCAAGATGAGGTTATGCTGTGGTAGATCAAGATGATCTGTAGTTAATGTGGTTGATGGTCTGTATCATTTTCCCCAGTATACCTCAGAACTTCCAAGCACAAACTAACACTCTATGTAACTCAATGTTTATTGTAAAAAATACAAACAAAACAACAGTGAAAATAATGCAAATGATGTTCAGGATGATCATATACTACCAAGCCACAGGTACTGGGCAGGGGAGGAGGCAAGCAGGGCATCTCTTCTGCCACTCAGTCCTTGGTCACTCACAGAAGGCAGTGTTCAAGGATCCTAATGAACTGGAGGAAAGGTTCCCATGCTGACAGGAAGACTTTGAAAGCTATTCTGAAAGCTGATTTCATGCAACCCCAATGACGTGTTCCTTGTGGCACAGCTGTTTGACCTCATGTTTACCAACAGTAATGTATGTGATTACATACAGCTACACATTGTTTTTATTTTACTGTGATGCAAACCTGGTTCCTGTGATCTCAGCCTTATGTAGAAGAGTTCTTGAAATAGTAGGTACTCGAAAATCTGGAATGAACAGTTCTATGTTCAAAGGCATTGTTTTAAAAAAGTTGGCTGGGAGACAAGAGGGAAAAAGGACAGAGCCTCACAGACTGCGGGGAGCGGGATGTGATAACCAGGGACCAGCGATCATTCTCTTGGCAGATACGCATCAGACATCCCTGAGGTCAGTTTTGGGAGGAAAAAACAAAATCCAAACAAACCTTAAACACCTAAATGTCTATTTTCTGAAGAGGCATGTAAGTATGTTCCCTGATTCTTTGCTGCTCAGCTGGGGGTGTGGGTGGAAGGCTTGGAAGCACTGAGTGCTAATTCTGCTGCAGGGAGGTTGGTGGGGTCCCACACCAGTGTGCTTGTGCTGACCTCATCCTACACCAGGGGATGGTGGGTTTGCAGAAAGCTGAGCAAGGGTGGTCTGAAGAGCTGCTCCATTCACAGCTAGAGGGGTCTTCCAAAAGGCTCCCCCCACATCCCCTCAAGTCAGCGATTCGAGGCTACTCTTGGATCAGGTAGGGGATGGGCTTTCAATCCTGCTACTCGGCTCTTGGTCTGGTGCATCCTCTTCTTTCTGCTCCAACTTGAAATTCTGTGAACAAGGTCCCAGATGAGGCCTGGCCCTGCATTTGCCCATGTAGCCCCGATACAATTAAAAGTAGCAAGGGCAAGTAGAATACATTACATTGGGTTATACCCCACATCTCTGAAGAGGAGGCACGCTTTTTCTATCCCCTCCCCCCACACGGGGCCTAGCCTACCTCGAGCTCGCGTAAAACCTCATCCATAAAGTCCTGGGAATTCTGTTTGTATGACACAGCTAAGCGGATTGCATCATTGAAGAGCTGTGGTGGTAGAGGCAACGTGTGACAATGGGCAGAGGGCCTTGGACTCCTACCACCCTCTACAACTAGCAAGCCTGCTCTTCATCGCCGCCCTCATCACCGGATCCAGTCAAGAGACACTCACGGCACCAAGCACAAGCCCACCACCCTATTCCCCCCCTTCCCCCCCCCCCCGCCCCGGCTCACCGGCACACCCTGTCCATTCTCCTGGTCCCTTCCCTTCACAGATCCCTATGACTTCAGTATCTATTCCCCATCTCACTGACTGCTCCTGCAGCCTGCCATTACCTTCACAACATTGGTACCATCGGCAGCTGAGACAAAGTACAGCGGCAGGGAGAACTTCCGGGCAAAATTGAAGCTTTTCTGAGTCACCTGTGTGTCTGCTGCAGAGAAAAGCAGGGCATTGCCTATCTATTCAGAGAAAGGGAAAAGGGATTTGAAAGCTAAGGGGAAGCTGAGCTAAAGGGTAGGTATGTGTTCTGAGTAGACAAGATCTGTCTCAGGAAGAAGACAGATTGGCATCTTTAAGGGGAAGGGAGGTGAGGAAGGATAGATCACTGAAGGCCACCCACTCCAGGGTAGTGGGAAATGTATGGTGGAGGGTTCCCAAGAATCACTGTCACTCAGGTCCAGGGATGGCCCCACCATCGATTTTATTGGCCACCACGACGCATGGGATCTCCGGCCTGAACTCCCGAAGCTCTGCATACCAGGTGCTCAGGTTCCTATAGGTGACTTTCCTCTGTACATCAAACACCTGCGAAGGGCAGAGGAAGACGTCATTTCTAAAATCCATTTCTAGTGACTGACCCGCCCCCCCCCCCCCCCCCCCACCGGGGCAGGTGAGTACAGGCAAGCACCATAGCCAAGGAATTCAGACTGGCACACTAGCCAGAAGAGGGTCTGAGAGGAACCAATGAATATACATGGACATCCAGGAGGGTGTCACTCTCAAGATAGGAGAGGCAAGCTTAAATAGTAGATGTCAGAGCACAACTGAAACTGAAACGGCTAAGTTTCCTGTTGCTGTGAGTCATACTTGTAGCTCCACTTGCCTTACTTTATATCCTCTTTTGTTTTTAGTATCTTCTTCTTCTTAAGAATTTGGAAATTCTCAAGGGCTTAAGGGACTGAAGAGCTGGGTAATGAGCCTCTCCTTTATACTTTGAAAGGGATCAGGAGGGAAGAATCCTCACTATCTTCATTGTGGTGTCTGCCAGCTGATAAGCCCCCGTTGGCAACTTTCACACACCAGCCAGTCCATGAGCCAGAGGCGGTAAGGTCTGTTGTGCATAAAAGAGCAACTCTGCCACATATCA